TGCTCAAGTTAACGATTAATCGGTTACTAAATTAAAGCCTTCAATGGCCAAGCTCCATCTGATATCCGATATATGATTATTTCCTCATGTCCATAAGTGAGCACTTCACTCTCAATCCGCAGGTGTACTAGTGGTTCCTAGAATTTCTAAAAGTAGAATGGGAGGCAGATCTTTTAGTTACCAGGCTCCTCTACTGCGGAACCAACTACCAGTTTTAGTCCGTGAGGCAGACACCCTGTCTACTTTTAAGGGTAGGCGTGAAGATTACCTTTTGATAAAGCTTATAGTTAGAGGGGTTCAGGTTATCCTGAGCTTTCTCTATAGTTATGCTGCTATAGGTTTAGACTTCTGGAGGACATAGGGACCCCTATTTCATCATTTTGCTTTATTCTATCTCTATTCTTTGACTCTGCAGAATCTGTTAGTTTAATCTCTAACATCATGCTCTGTCTGCCTTTTCTCAGGGTAGCTTCGCCTCATCTGTTCCTGTTTGGCTGTGACACCACCCTGGAGAGAAATATCATCTGTGCTGCTGCCATCAACCCCTTTGTTTATAGATGTTGGCGATCTGCCTGTTTTTGCAGTACTGCATGAAAAGTGAGATTTTCGTCCCCGTAAACCCCCGTAAACTCCCGCAGATCTGCCTGATTTTCGTCAGTTTCCGACAATTTGCAACCCGTGCTTGTCCGCGTTTGTCGTGCCACAAATAGTCGGAAACGTACCGTGACGTATGTGGAGAGCGATCAGCTGTACTAATGGCCCTAATTAGCATATGAATACAGCAAACCCGCGCGGCTGGCCAAGTCTGGCTTGAATAACCTTCTCAGTATTGGCTGAAACCACTATTCTCAAACACGTAAAATCGCTCGTGATTGGCAGCAAAACCACACGTGGCCACGCCAGGCTTTAATTTTCTTACTGAGTATTGGACGGAACCACTTCTTTTTAAACAAGTAAAGTCGCTCGTGATTGGTTGGCATATATATATATTTACATATATATATATTTATTCATATATATATATATATATATATATATATTTATTCATTCATATAAATATATTTATTCATTCATATAAATATATTTATTCATTCATATATTTATTCATTCATATGGTGTGTATTTATGTTATCCTACACTACTACACAATTATTATGCTACCATCAAGGACATGAATGAATTTATACAGGAAATGAAGATTTGCCAGGAAGCTGTTTATGCAAAGAAAGAGCTTTATTGAAACACAACTATATACAACGCGTATCCAAACACATGCGTTTCTAAAAATTAAAACTCCGTGAACGGTCCGTTTGCTTCCTCTGGGTTGGAGGTAACTGGCAGCATTCCCTCCGAGGCAGGTCCGATGTGCAGACGCCTAGTGTGCGTGGCCCTGTACTAAGGCATCGCTTCTAACCGGGACTGCAGCTTAAAGGCCCATTCATACCTCACGTTTGGCCTGCACGTCCGTATTTCTGTCCGTACGTTCTATCCGTTGACTCCTTCATACCTCCGTCCGTTGAGGTGCGCAATAACCCGTATTTCCTTTAGGTGGCAGTGCTGGGCGCCAATGATTCGTCATTGATCAAAACATGGCGATGGTCCAAGACCTGATTCTGTTGACATTTTGTACTAAAAACTCAATAGCGCCCCCACCGTTTCCGGTAGTATTGCTCCGTATTGATCCGTTTCGTCCGTTAGCGTAAGCTCCCAATTTTCGTGTCAAAGTACGGACGAAATCGACGGTTAGAACGTATGAAACACTCCACACGTATCCGTCTTTTACGTGAGGTATGAATGGGCCTTAACACAGAGTTCAGTGAGATCCGGCCTACGAAATGGCGGCGACCGTACAATCCATCCAGAGACACCGCAGAGGAAGGCGGACTTCCAGAGTTCCACTTCCTCATCTGCTAGCACACTCTGCCTCGCTTTCAGCAGCTGAAAAAAAAAACAATGAATCAGCGCACTGCCTATGGACACAACACATCTATTAATGCACCTGAAAAATAGTCACCAAATAAAGTCTTACCCTCTTTCTTCTGGCCCGACTCCGAGCAGATAGCCTCCGCACGCAGCGTGTGGCTGGCTGCGTATATCTGAAGCTCCTGCGTACCGTCTGAAAATACGTCTTACAGGCAGCTGGAAAACAATTAAATGAGAGTGGTATAAATAAAAAATCAAACGCAAGTCACAGTAACAAGGAAGGAGAAAACATTAAAACAAGTCACTTACACACAATGTCGTCTTTATCAACATCGTGCAAATCTGGACTTGCCGAGATGGGAGGTCTGTGAAAACAAAATGTAAAAGCTATGATCGGTATCCATCCGTATCCATTGCCTTTTACCGCAGAATGAAAGCATATTCTTTAAATCTTACCCTTGCTCCGGTTCATAGCGCCTGCAATTAGTCTCCGAGTTGTTAAGACGGCGTACTGCTTCCTGTAAATCACAAAAAATACACTTTAATAAAGCTTGTTCTAGCAAGGCTACTATTAGCCGCTATTAGCCGGTAGCTTAGGCTAGGCTGCTTTTAGCTTAGCAGGCAGTAATCGAACATATATTTACCGCTAGCATCTCTTCTTTGAGTTCGTCTTGTTCGATGCAGAGTCGCCATCGCGTCCAAGAGGAGTTTTACCCCGAAATCCAGAAGCTCCAGACCGCTGCACAAAGCAAAGCATACATCCTCCACTGTGGCTGCACACCGCCGTTCTGAGTTTCTTGGAGATCGTAGGGAGCATGCGCGAGATGAACCAGGGTGTCCGCGGATCAATAAAAATAATTAAAAAATCATTCTTTTTTTTTTTTAATCAAGGCCTTAATTGGCACTAAAATTATTTAAATATGTTTATCGAAGTATTTATAATTCTTTAATAAAAAATGCTTATAAAAACAATTTCGTCAGATATATTATATCGCTCCAGGCGGAGAAATAGCTAGAGGATATATATATACGTATATGTGTGTGTGTGTGTGTTTACATACATACAGGAGTCATGGAACTCTGCTTGCAGCTCCTTCATATTTCATGTACACTAATAACTTGTGTACATGGTTCTTGATGATGGCATTAAAATCATTTCAAATAGCATTAAAATAGCATTAAATTAGAGTCACTCATTCCTGTATGAACCCTGTGAGTGCTTAATTTAATATGACATATTAAAAAAATCCCACCATCATCCAGCATATGTTCAGTTTCTGCCCAAATATATATGTAGATTTTTGTAACGGGGATAAGGATAATTCAAAACTGCTTTTTTTTTAATGAACTTGTTCACTACTTCCAAACTCAGCATCTCTTTTCATTCCTGTAATAAGAAGTTTCTTTTGAATGGATTTGATTAAAGTTTAAGTCCCTATGTATAAAATAAATATTTTGATGGAGATGAGAAATCTGCTTCCTCGTTGGTGAATAACCAATAGTTTGGATCCAATCATTTAAATAAACGGTGTTAGTTTATATATATATATATATATATATATATATATATATATATATATATATATATATATATATATATATATATATATATATACTATATAAGAATTGTGCTATAATTTCTAGTCACCGATCTGTTGCTGCTATATTTTAATTTGACGAACCGGAATTTGTCGATGTTCTTTTTCCTGTTTGGTGCGATTGCAATTGCGGATCTTGACCTGGCCGGACCTTATGACCACAGTGTACCAATCTTCTCATGGCTACTTCCAACAGGATAATGCGCCATGTTATAAAGTAAATCATCTCAGACTCATTTCTTGAAACTTTTCCACTTAAGTAATTGTGAATTGAGCATATTGACAGACAACATTTTATTTTTTATCTTAAATGCAATTTTTTTTTTTATAATTACTGCTCTAAATGTATTGCTCTGTCAGCTAAAGATCTGTTTTGGTCTCTATACTTTAATTAAATAAATCAATTCAAGCTAAAATGGAAGAGGCTATACTAAGCCTGATCTCTTTGTATCAGAGAATTTCTTACCCAGAAAGATGTCACTTGGGGTAAAACCCCCCCTGCAACCCTGGTTTGCATTTGTATAGCTCACAGCATGTTCATTTACATGTTAAAGCCTCCCCTAGAATTCCATGGGGGGGAGGCATGGGGGGAACACTGCCTAAGAGAGTCCACGTCAATTTCTGACAATTTACGGGAGTTTTCGGCGAAGCCTGCAAATTGTCGTAAACTGCCGCTAACCTGAAGTTCCACGACAATCTACAGTGCCGCATAATGACGAAAATCCCACTTTTCATGCAGTGAGTGTCCTGTTTCTCTGACTGTGACTGGCTGGATGTGCTCTCTTCATCCTCTGATATGGGCGTCGGCTCGGAGCTCGTCTGCCTTGCTGTGTGTTTCCTGGACGGGGCCACCTTTTACAGCTACTTTTTGTATCTCTGCTTCCGTCTCCTTGAACCCCAGTTGGCCGCTCACACTTAGCCTTGTTCTGCTAGAGGTTTCTTCCTGTTAAAAGGGAGTTTTTCCTTTCCACTGTCGCTACAAGCATGCTTAGTGTGAGGGATTGCATCCGAGTCAATGAGTCGATGCAATCAACTGGTTTTCCTTAGATAGAACACTTTGAATCTATTTGACTGTATGACCTGGTGAACTGTAAAGTGCCTTGAGATGACATGTGTTGTGAATTGGTGCTATATCAATAAATTAAATTAGTTGACAATTATTTCAATAATCGATTAATCAAGATTAATCCAATTGTTTCAGCCATAGAATGCAATATTACTTATCATATAATAGATAAATAAATTAATAAATATATAACCCTGTTAAATCTTTGTAGTTTAAAACTGTAGTTATGAATTTTCCCCTATTTCCTATGACACTGTTTTTTTTTTAAATACCAATGAAATGTCTCCCATATTGCACATGTCCTGAGCTTCCACTGTGGTGTACTGCTCTAATAGTCTGACATCATTATTATAGATTAACTGGGAGAAAATGTGTGTGTTGCCCTTTAAGGTGCATCTGTCATCCCTCAGCTAATGAAAAGTCACTGCTTGTTTTCCCCGCTGCAGATCTCGGTACGGCACTGCCTGGCCTAGCTAGCAGGAAAGGAGGGGGAGCATTTTCTGTCGGCCTAAAAAAAAAAAAATCCAGGAAGGAAGGAAGAAGAGAGGACAACGAGCGAGGACGCAAATATCGAGAGAGAGGAGGGGAGGGGGTGTCCAAAAAGGAAACTCTACCCCTTTAAGAGCAAGTGGGACATAGCGGTGCGAGAAAAAGGAGAGGAGGGGGAGAAGAAAGAGGAATTAAAAAAGAAAAGGAAGAAAGAGACAGGGAGGGAGGAGGGAGAGCGGGCGATAAAAAAAGAAAGATGACATCCTCACAGCTGAACGGCCGAGGTGGAGCGGTAGGCTGCGGCCCGGCGAGAGCGCCGCTCGCCTGGGTCAGGGCTTGAATCCGACAGCGAGGCGTCGACAAAACACCCGAACGGCCTACCGGGAGGGTTCGGAAACCGAAAAAAAAAAACAGACTGATTAAAATCGGAAAAAGCAAAGCATGACACGCTTTTCTTAATGAATATTATAATTAATATTTGTTTGTCTTGCGTTGAAAAAAAAGCATTTATTGGACCGTTTTTCGCGTAATGCTAAAGAGTAAAACTGCACGGTTCGGTTATTTTTAGTTGTTTATAAAGGACACCAGAGGGGCTAATTCTGCTGGTTTAGCGGGATTTGTTTGTGTTATTGTTGGGAATCATTGAAGTTAAAGGCCCAGGCGGATGAGACAGCAGGCCGTTATTGGACTGGGCCTGCGTTAGTCCCAGCAGCGCCGTGCATTTTAGCTCCCAGCTCTACCTCAATTAGAAAAGCAGACTTTAACACACAGCTTTGTTCGCCTTTTACTACACAACCCGGGAGCCCATCGTTCCTACTGCGGCTCGGGCCTCCGTCCGCGCCCCGATCACCACCGGAGGGCCGATTCGAGCCATGCAAAGGCTGCTCCCCACGACCTCAATCAGAAGCTGACTTCATAATCTCCACCGCTGTCTGTGGCGCAGAATGGACGCTGCTTGGAGCAATTTTCTCTTCCAGGTAAGCTTTTGCAGGCTCCTGTTTTTTCTCTTGATCCCACCTGAACACATGCAGGCCCTCTCTGTGTGCCATTGCCACCCTAGCTAACGTCTTGTGTTACCACCTCTGCAAGATAAATATTGTGACTTGTGTTTACATTTGGTGATGGCCTTCTCCTTGCTCCTCCAGAGTACTCCCACCCAAAACCAAGTGGAGGGGAGCCTCCAATCAGAGCTCATGCAAGTGCATACGAGTTCTCCCCAGACCCCACCCACAGAGCACATAGCACAGCCTCCTTCAACTGTGGACACCACTGCTTTGAGTGAGGAACCCCTGCCTGGTGAGTCAGACTGCACATCATCACCACCTTTGGAGCTGAAATCACTCCCATCCGAGTCCTTTCAGGTCAATAAACGCCCTGTTAAAACATGCATGTTTTCAGCTAGATGCATTTTATCACTGTGGAAACATAAAGATTGAATAAGCGGTTAAATGGTTTATTTTATCATGTTTTATCATAGTACAGATAATCATCAGGGCATCCTGAATGAAACTATTCGTTCATTATTGAACGTGAACCATATAGTAATGGCGTAGGCTCCTGCACATGTTGATATATTTCAGAAATGAAAGAGCAGATACGTTGGCGAAGGGGGCCAACAGGGGCCAGTGCCCCTGTAGAACTGGTTCTAGCCTATGGCCCCTGTACTGAAAACACACACAATAAACATTTAGATATAAGTAAGTCAATTTGTCTTGTGATTTAAGGAGGTAAGACTATTCGCAGATGGAATAAGATGATTTATGTTTAAAATTTGATCCTATTTCATGTGCATAGTAGGGATGCACGATATTGGGATTTTGGCCGATATGCCGATATTTTAAAACTCATGTACCCGATTACCGATGTTAAAGCTGGACAAAAAAAAGTAGTCATTGAAAATAGCAGTTTTGTTATCCATTTCTGACACTTTGAAAAATAATATACCGTATTTTCACGACTATAAGGCGCACTTAAACGTCTTTTTTTTCCCTCAAAATGTGCGGTGCGCCCTATGGTGCGGTGCGCCTTATGTGTGTTGTAACTGCGACTTTTGAGACCACCTCATTGAGGAGATGATGAAAGAGTGGCTGAATGTAAGGAGACCAGGTGTTTTTTTTTCACCCCTCACCATCGCTGTTAATATGTAACTCCATGCGTGCCCATCTCACAGCTGATGTGAAAAACATGGGGAAACAAATTAACGCTGCTCGACATCGGTGTGAACCGGACCCAGCAGGTGCAGCAGAAGCAGCGAGTTTACATGCAAAGTCAATGGTTGACGCGCATATAGGTGCAGCAAAAGGTCCCGCAGCGCATTTTGGTGCAGCACGTCGGGAGCGTTTAAGCATCTGAAGCGCCGCGCTTCTGCTGCTCGAGATGGAAAAATTGAAGTTTTGCTGCTGGACGCGCCGCATCAACCAATCAGAGAAGCTGATCTGGGAGCTGCCAGCGAGACAGACAGCGCTCTGATGACATATGATATTAACGCAAATGGAAAAGGCTGGATGGATGCGTGGCTGAGGCAGGTGTATGTGAGAAGACTAGGTGGTTTTTTCCACGCATCACCATCGCTGTGTGCCCATCTCACAGCCGATGTGAAAAAAAGGTGAATCAAATGAACGCTGTGCTCACCGTTATCCCGGGGGTCTGACAAAGGAGCTTCAACCGCTCGACATCGGTGTGAAGCAGCCGTTCGAAGTAAGGCTGCGAGCGGCGTGGGAGCGATGGATGACCGACGGAGACCAAAGTTTCAGGATAAGAAGGCAGCGCCGGGCAGATTACGCCACAGTTTGCGGATGGATTGTAGATGCTTGGACTAAAGTGTCTGCTGGCTCTGTTGTTCAAGCTTTCGCAAAAGCCGGCATTATTTCTGAGGAGCCGCGCTGCACGGAAAGTGACTGACAGCGAAGAAGGGGAAACTGGCATGTCTGATTTAGCGCAGCTGTTTTATTCAGAAACAGAGGATGATGACTTTGATGGGTTTGATTAATACTTTGTAATAAATACATGAATAAAGCACAATCATACTCAGTTTGGCTCCCGCTGTATTTTTCTCCCTGAAAACTTAATTCAACAGCATCCCCGGCGCGTCTCCTCCTCTTCATCGCGGTGGCTGGCAGGTGTTTTTTCATCTAAATAATCTAAATCTTGCAGCTATATTTGCTGTGATCAGTGGGAATAAAGTAGTTTTAATATGTTTTTAAGTGAGAAAGTCCACCTGAAAACTTAATAATTGCAGTCAGTTCATCCAGATTATCTATTTCTGTCGGAGGCGTTCAGACCCCCACATACCAGCGGTGCGCCGACAGGAGAAATCCTTTCGTTCACCGCGGCTGCTTGCAGGTGTTTTTCATCTAAATAATCTAAATCTTGCAGCTATATTTGCTGTGATCAGTGGGAATAAAGTAGTTTTAATATGTTTTTAAGTGAGAAAGTCCACCTGAAAATTTAATAATTGCAGTCAGTTCATCCAGATTATCTATTTCTGTCGGAGGCGCTCAGACCCCCACATACCAGCGGTGCGCTGACAGCAGAAATCTCTTCATCAGCAGCCTGTAGGCTGGGCAGCCTGGGGTTCACCGCGGCTGCTGGCAGGTGTTTTTCATCTAAATAATTTTAGCTGCAGGCACCAGGATACCGGCAATAAAAGCGAACATATTCCGTCAGCAGGTTTCAGGATTTTAAGTTAATTTAGGAGTGACCACAGCGCTGTGTCATCTGCGATGTGTCTGTCTCACGGCCAGCTGCCAGGTTTGATTAATACTTTGTAATAAATACATGAATAAAGCACAGTCATACTCAGTTTTGCCCCCGCTGTATTTTTAAATACGCAGTAGAGGTATTTAAAGGTAGTAGAGGACTTGTACCTGTATATAAAAAACGCGCCCTATAGTCCGGTGCGCCTTATGTGTGTGTTAAATACAGAAATGGGACACATAACTGAGAGTGCGCCTTTTAGTCCGGTGCGCCTTATGGTCGTGAAAATACGGTACTCAAATATATTTTCATATACTGATATCAAATAGATTTTTAAAAACGCGGTATCGATCTATTTTACTTTCAAAATATTGTGAAATTTTTCATCATTCTGTTACAAACTCTCGTGATATTTTGCAAATTCTTGTGAGATTTTGTTAGTAAAATAGATCGATACCGCGTCAATATATCAACATATAAAATATGGCAAAATTTTGTGAATTTTCGGGGGATTTCGTAGCATAATGATGACATATAGCAATATTTCATTAGTAAAAGAGATTGATATGGTGTTTTTAAATGGCAATATATCAGCATATGAAGTAGGGGTGTAAATAATAATCGTTTTGTATCGATGCATCGTTCCAAAAGCCGACGATCCGATGCATCTACACGTCCGCAAGATAATCGATTCATGTTTTTTTTTCCTCCGGTCTATTTTTATCCATTTGCTCCTGGGCGTAATTCTCCCTCCCGTGCTGCGGTGCCGCTAAACCTATTTTGCCCTCCTACCGCGCTTCCTGGTTATACTCTTACAGCAGTTTGTTGCAGCAAGCTTCACACAGACATTTTTAAATTATGCTCAATATTGAAGCGTGGTCTGTGCTACACACTGTGGGTCTAGATACGGCCGAGGCGGTGAGGAAGTGGGGACGAGTTTAGTCCGACGACAAAGGGACATGAGGGCAAAAAGAGCGGAGATTCAGCTGGAAAAAGGGTCCCAGCGTTCTCGCGCACCTCGCTCTTCTAGCGGGTCAAACTTCACGAGTTGTTTTCCGCAATTTCGGTCATAAAAACAAAACAAGCCGGCCTTCTGTCTGGTGCACTGTTTGCGGTCAGCTACAATCTGGGAGAGGAGCAGCGGAGCGTCTCTCAAGGGGGCGGTGACGTCAACACTCTGAAGCCTTCTTCTTCTTTTTTTTTTAATGGCGGTTGGCAAACAACTTATAGGTGCATTACCGCCACCTTCCAGAATGGAGTATGGACCAGAAAAACTATTATATTCTCCCTAAAATACCCGTTCTTCTTAGAAAATTAAAAATACTACCAAAAACTACATCCCCAGATGACCTTTGAAACAATTCCCTTATATCTAGTTTATTTTTATTCCTGTCTAACTCTCTAAGCAACATCTCTCTTTCCTGAGTATATTTATTACATTCTAAAAAAATATGTTGGACAGTTTCTCTGGAGCCGAGGTATTGCATTGAACTCATTACACTGATATTGTGCAGTATTTTTGCAGTATTTTTTGATGCAACTTTTCTACTTCTGTTATTTGTTGTTGTTTCTAAAGAAAATGCATAATGATATTACAGCTTTCATTGATTTATTTCAAACTTGAAACTTTGTTTAGCCTGTAAGGTGTAAAAAAAAAAATAATAATAAAAAAAAAAATAACCGATTAATCGAATCGAATCGAATCGTGGTGTATTCTTGAGTATCGAAAATAATCGAATCGTTGGGTCAGGAAATCGATACTGAATCGAATCGCCATGATGGATGTGATTTACACCCCTAATATGAAGATATTGTGATATTTTAATGTATCAATATTTTTTCCCTCATCTTTAGAAGTTTTTAAGTCTGTAAAAAAGAAGTTTTTGAGGAAGAAGAAGTAGTTTTTTTTTTTTTTTTTTTTTTTTTAGACTTTAGAAACTCAGAAGCTGATCAAATATCGGGTTAAATATTGGTGGGGTGGCCGATGTCCGATATTCAGTTTTAAGGCCGATACCGATAGGGGGCCGATTATATCGTGCATCCCTAGTGCATAGTATGTAATTATCTTATTTTAAGGGCAGAAATTCCTTATATGTTTATTTATGTATATATCATTTTTCTTAATAATGTCAGAAAATTCATTCAGGTCTGGAAAATGTAGACAAACTATTAATTTAATGATGTCACCTCAACCTGACGGTATTGTTAAACAATTACTATTTTATTCTTTCTTCTGTTATTTAAGGTAAGAAATCCATAAAAAAACAGTATTTCTACAAAAAATTTTAAGAGGCATGATATTTGATTGCAGTTTTGCTTAAGTCCTTTCTGCAGTTTAAAGTAAAACGAAATATGTTATTGCGTTATTTAAAAACATGCCCACTGATGTCGTTTTTTTATTTTTATTTTATTTATTTATTTTTTTCATCCTCCGATTTTTTTTTTTTTTGTGGCTAGAACATTTCATAGATTAAGCATAAAAAAAAAAACACTGTGCTAGGCCAAGTGTTGCTGCAAATCATACAGATTGATCTGGATCAGCAGGCAACTTGTATACCCAAACCGATGTAGATGTAGCTCCTCTCTAAAAGTATTCAAATATGTACCGTTATGCTTGAGACTTTACATACCCAAATTACACAAAATAACACAAAACTGAAATAATAATTGATAAAAATTTACTAAATGATAATTTAGTAAAATAGACTAAAGTTTTTCAATTTTTGCTTAAAAGGAATCTAAAAAAAAACTGTCCGAGGCAAAATAAAGTACTTTGCTCATAAAGAGTGAACATTCCTGTCTGCAGGTGCAGCAGTCTGACTGAACATCTCCTGAACATTACAGAAGAAAAGTGTTGCTCAAAAAATGTTTTATTCAGGAGCTCCATCAGGCAAAACAATTGAATCATTTTCAATTTTTAAAATATTTTTATTTATTATTACTCTTATCAATTTCCACTTATCTCACTCACAGTCCACTGTCTTTAATGGAAGGGTACATTAGTACATTTAGAGATGCACAGGGAAATCGGCCTTTGACCAGAATCTGACGAATTAGGATGATCATCCCCGACTTAACACTCTTCAGTGTGAACACTGTTACTAAGTGAAAAAATCTTAACCCTTTGCTATTTACATAATTAGTTATTTTAAGAAATTAATTGCAGCTAATGCACAGAGCTGTATGAACCCACCTGAAAGCAAGCTCAATCTCTTACAACATTGTTTTTGATGATTTATACCAGGAATATAGAAAATCAGTTCAATAACAGCCAGAAAATTAATATTGGAACATATCAGCCTACGTGTAAAATCTCTGATATAAGCAAGCTGATGGAAACTGTAATCCATTAGGTAATTATTTCCTCTTAGTTTTTTTGTCATTTGATCAAGCTCTTTTTAATGTTTACAAAACAAGTAATATATAAAAGGTGCTGAAAAAATATCTGCTCAATATTTGAAATGAAAGAGTCAAATGAGGACATCCCTATTTTATACTTTATTTAAAGACATGTTAGAACACAGAAAACTTGTCACCTTGTTAACAGATGATAATAAATGCTTCAGTAGCAGCCCAGATGCACAAAAATCTCTGGATCTGTTGCTCTCTAAGAGCATCAGTATTCCATTTAATTTTTCTATATTTCGTTGACCTGCAACCACAAACTCAGTGCAACTGAGTTGTCCCAGATCACAAATCAGGCCACTAAATGTAGGCGGTTCCCCTCAAACCTCCACTTCCTAACCAGACTACCACTCTAAGATCAGAGATTTAATTTTATCGAAAACTTTAAAATAGATTTAATTTAGTTAAATTTATTTGTGTTAAAGTTCCTTTTTATGAATGACTTAACTGTATCGTAAGTAAAGGGTTGCTGTTGTTGGAGCCCTTTAGAGTAGAACATGTCTGTGACCATCCTGGACAGAGTGTAAAGTTCTTCTAATCTTTTTATTTTTTCTTCTCTGTAATTGATCTCTATTTTTGGTTACAAACCAACACAATATTATGCTAATTTATTATATATTTATATGTATTTACCCTAAATATTTTGTTGGACTGAGTTTGGTTGCTGTCAAATCTGCGTCTTTTTAGACTATGGTGTATATCATCTGACTTAACACTAGAGATGCACCCATACTTGGGATGAGAGTATTGGCCGATATCCAATACGATCTGCATCAACCGTTGAATGAAGCACATATCATGCTGCGTTTGAAGGCTTTATCCTTGATATAAACATTGGTTAAAATGTAACAACTTAGCAAAAATATGAATGTATTTATTTTAAAAAAGCAGCAAAAAGAAACAACTAACAGTTGATGTAAAGTGAATTGGTTTGGATCTCAGATATCCGATACAGATAATTAGCCAATATCTGAGCTGATATCTGATCCAGGTATCGGATCGGTGCATATCTTCTTGTTTCACATTCTTCCTTGGAAATGACTGAAAATTAAGTCAGACTAGCTGGAGAGTGTCTTAGATTAAGGTCTAGACTGTGACTAGGCCATTATAACAGATTGGTTGTTTATTTTTGGTCTTTTGCAACCTGTAACAGGATCTCTTCCGCATCGTGCTGAATTGAGCTCCTTGTTCCTATCCTCACTGCATGATGCTCCAGCCACACACATCATTTTGCATTATGTGTTTAGGCTGACTTAAAGCACAGCAGTTCTTTTGCAATCAAAGCTCGACAAAAGTCTGCCAAAATTTCATTTTTTTTCTTAAAGTGTTTTATTTTTGTATTTTTGACTAAGCTTTCAGTGGTTAAGTTAAGTTCAGTTCCTTTATTGTCCTCAGGAAAATTTTTTGCAGCTTGGCATTGTCGTACATGCATGGAGCTCAACACAGATATGTAGCATCTTAAACACAAACTTAAGAATAATTCAAAATTCCTATTGTGGTAAGGTTCCAGTGAATTGTAACCAGTTCACTTAAGTGTGAAAGTGATCAACTTTGAGTTTTATTTTATCTTCTGGTTCCCTCAGAGCCGGTGAAGCCAGCGCCTCGGCCGACCCGTGTGCAACACATCTGTGCCATCTGCAACAAGCAGTTCAAGAACAACTACAACCTGCGGCGGCACCAGTCGGTCCACACTGGGGTACGCATGAAGGACAGGGCCAGAGTGCAGGCGGAGGGAGCGAAGGAGGGAGCCGCTGGCCAGGTGGTGGTAGCAGCGGCGACCCCGCCGGCGATGGTGGTGGGGGTTGGAGGGAGGACGGAGAGGCCCACCGTTCCCCTCTCCCTGCTGCACCTCTCCGTGTCTCCCTCTCTCGCCCCTCCCGGCCTGCTGGCGGGCGCTCAGCAGCCTCCCCTGGGCAGTCAGGATGGTGAAGGGGTTGCCATGCCAAACGTCATGGCTACTGTTAACCCTCATGCTCCGCCTCCTGCTGCTGTCGTCATGGCCACAGGGGCGACAGTACAGGTGGGTCAGGGCCTTGTGAGAGACGGTTGTCGTCAACCCCCAAGCCTTCGAGAGCGTTGTTTCTTAAGCTGCCTTGTCATGAGGATGGGGGAACCATCTTGCAGCAAATTCACCTCCTGTGTTGGATTTTAGGAGAAATCCTTGAGCACTGATTGGTGGAGGGACCGTTTTGGTCCCCAGATTAAGAAACAGTGTGCTCGAAGCCCCCCCCACACACGCTCCCCTGCATGTTCTCAAAAACTAGCCAGACGATTACGCACAAGTCATACAACTGCAATCATTTTTCTTTTTAATTAAACGGCCAATTTTCTTTGCATTTGCATGGAATACAATTTTATAAAATTCTCTTTCAGTCTGTGCAAAAACACCTCAGACCTAAACTCAGCAGCTTGTTTGTGTTTCGCCTCAGAGGCCCTCAAATCCCAACCCGAACCCCGTCAAGAAGAACCACGCCTGCGACACCTGCGGTAAGGCCTTCCGGGACGTCTATCACCTAAACCGTCACCGCCTCTCCCACTCGGACGAGAAGCCCTTCTCCTGCCCTATCTGCCAGCAGCGCTTCAAAAGGAAGGACCGCATGAGCCACCACGTGCGCTCGCACCAGGGTGGGGTGGAGAAGCCCTACATCTGCCCTCACTGCGGAAAGGCATTTTCCAGGTGATGCTGCGCTGCGGCCGCACGTTATGGCCTCCTCTCCTACTCTAATACGTCTCTCTTATGTTCCCCTATAGGCCTGACCATCTCAACAGTCACGTCAGACAGGTACACTCCTCAGAAAGACCATTCAAATGTCCGGTATGTATTTATTTTTTTGATTTATTTATACTGAACATTCGGCCAAGGAGTTGTAATCCTCACCATGCTTCATCTTCCTTTGCAGACTTGTGAGTCCTGTTTCGCCACCAAGGATCGCCTGCGAGCTCACATGATTCGCCACGAGGAGAAGGTGCCCTGCCACATCTGCGGGAAGCTCCTGTCTGCTGCCTACATCACCGATCACATGAGGGTGCACAACCAGTCACAGCACCACGTCTGCCACCTCTGTAACCGAAGTGAGTTCACAAGTTTGGGTTGTTTTTTTTTAAGTGGTTGATCAAAAGATTAAGTTAAATTATTAGAAAATGATCAAGCCATGTCATAGGAGGGAAAACCAGGAGATGGAAAAACTTTGCTTTAAGAGTTTCATTAGAGAACCCTGATTTGCAGTTTGCAAGGAAAGAAACCATCACCATTTTAAAACACGATGGTGGCAGTATGATGTTAAGGGAATGCTTCTCTTCAGGAACAGGAAAGTTGGTCAGTGTAGATTGGAAGATTTTTGGATCTAAATGCAAGAAAAATCCTTAAAAAAATCAATTTTGGGGGGCTGAAATAGAAAATGATACTATGATTATTTTCAACCTTCTAGCAGAACAAAAACCTGAAACATACAGCCAGAGCTTCTATAAATGACTGTTTATTATAGCCCAGTTTAGCCAGAGCTTTACGTCACTAAAAACTGTGTGGCGTAGCTTTAATATTGATGTTTACAGATGATCTGTATCAAATATTTTGTGATTTTTTTTTTTTTATAAGATGGGATTGCTGATTTAATATTCTGTTTTCTTTTTTATTGTTTAAAACATCAGAATATGACCAGTGACCATAACAGTAACTCTAAATTCTCCTTGGTTTTCAAAACAAAGCTGTAAGAATAATACTGGAAAACACTATAGAGAGGCAACAAATCCATTATTTCTTCAGTTAAAACTGTTGAAATTCATTGTATTAGACTATAGTATTTTACAAATAAGGTTTAAAGCTCATAAAACACATTCCCAATAAACATTCAAAACAGATTTAGAAAAAGAGAAAGCAAATATAATTAAAAAGGAACCTGAGACCTGCTGGAATGTATATTTGAGCATCACTCTCTCCTGTCCTCCAGGCTTCACCACGCTGACGTACCTCCGCGTCCACGCCCAGAAGCATCACGGCCAGGAGTGGAAAGAGAGCCCCGGCGGCTTCGGCGGCACAGCTGCAGGCGGCGTTCTCGTCTGCCACCTCTGCGGCGTCCAGTGTAAGACGCCCACCCAGCTCCAGGGCCACATGGGCACCCACAGCACCAGCCAGGCCGCGCCGAACCCCGTCACCTCCAACGTGGTCGCCAGCAGCTCCGTCTCCCTCAGCAACATGGTGACAGCTGCTCCTACCGTGTACGTCACCGGGAATACGGTGGTGGACCTGCTGGTGACGGACTGCTCTAGCATCGCGGCGCCGCAGTCCCACAGTTAGCAGGATGATCTGATGGATGGATCTGCGAGTCTGAGGCAGTTGCTTGGAGATCCTGATTCGGTTTCTTTCTTCTTTAAAATGGCACTTAGGGGTTAGAGTTAAAACCTCGGAGGGAGAAAAACTGTTTAGGAAAATGTTTTTGCAGCTGAGCTGGAGCTTTGAGACGTGATGAAAAAGAGGCTCTAGCAGGTTCACCACGCTAATGGCAAACATGGATGTGCTGTCCAAATATTTCAGAATGAAGACTCTAGTCAAAGTGTGGTCATCCCTCCTCTCTCCCCTCTCTCTGTCTGACCTTCCCCACCTTTTTTTTTTTTTTTGTGGCATTGGCTGCCCTCTACAACTGCACCAAGTACTGTAAATCTCACACCAGCTCTGATCTTACCTCCATTTTAGCAACTCGCGTACCGAGAATACTAAAAAAATCCAAACGGTTTGTGTCGACGTTTCAGGGGGAGGAAACGAGAAAATTAGAAGGAAAGTGGCGCGTTTGCGTGTGTGTGTAAGTTTGAGCTCCTCTTGCATGTTTGTTTAATTTCACAAGATGGAGATGAAAATTAGATTTTAATGCTAGCTAAATATCTTTTTACTGTGGAGTTGATCAGGAAATGAAATCCACCTGTTGGGGATGTTTGTGCTCATTGTTTCTTAAAGGTACCGAAATAAAGAAGAGTTGTTATTCAGGAGCATCAAGCACCTTAAAGCTGTCGTCGTCAGACTCGGTAAGGACGGAGGTTTAAGTGTTCTCGGATTATTTTGCTCTGAGTCTTCCTCTCTGGGTCCGGCCTTTACATTTAAAAAAACAACAAAAAAATACAAAACAACAAAAAAAAAAACTGCTAATCAGCACTTCAGCTTCTGAACTACCTTTTTGCATGAAAACGAAATAAACCAAGCAAGCTCGGCCATGTTTATTGTTAGAGAACTGTTATGACAAGGATAAAAATTAGCAGTTCCACTAAGTTAGTTAGCTGTAGATGATGCTATTTATGAAAAAGTTGATTTTACTCTGGATTTTTTCACATAGATTGCCATTCATTTGATTGCAGCTGTCATCGCCATAGTCATTCACTTTATTTTTCATTTTCTCTGTGTTCCAGTCCTATGGGTGAACCTTTTTTTTTTTATATAGATTTAGTCTTTTAACTCTGCATAGATCTCGTTTTTTGAGTCAGTGGTGTAATGAACAAGCGGTTGTCTGTTGTGAGTGACCCGTGGTGTAGAAAGGGCATAAAAAAGTCACTTTAAGTCAACAAAAAAAGACAATAAGTCGGTGATGAGTGCAGTTTCAGTTTTGTGTTCATTTCTTACCTTAAAATCTGTAGAGTTGTTTTTTTTTTGTCTGTTTCTTCCTTTGGAAATGTGTTCCCTCTGTTGAGAAACATAGTGATTTATTGCAAATGAATTTTAGTTTTGTTTTTTTCATGACACTAAAAAAAAAATAATGATGATACCTCTACTCTAGGCTTCTGTACAGCTCTTGTGATACATCTTCAATGCCTTATCGTACTCAACTGCATTTTAATTCTTTTATGACAAAATATTTCAAATCTTAGTCATGGATTCATTAAGAATATTAAGGGGATGTATTTATATTTATATTTTTATATTTCTCAACAGTATGCATGTCTAAAAAAATGTTAGAGCAAAAAAAAAAATCAATGCTTACTACAGTAATTTCTTTTTTTTTTTGTAGATCGAGTAGATATCATGTTATTTTATAATTTGGACAGTTTAAAGTAAAAATATTAAACAAGAACTGCTGTATGGGCTGTTTTCATTTTCCTCGTATTGTTATTAATACCTGATTTTAAGTACATCAAAAGAAAATCTCACCAGGGAATGAGTGATGCATTACAAAAGTGGAATATATTTAAATGAATCTATGTAAATTAATTAAGGAAAGTGAACATTAAACTTTTGTGGGACAAAAACAGCATACCGAAATGTTTTGCAGCCATGATGTGTTTAGATAAAACTTTCCTATGAATTTAACTTTCTATTATGTGTAATCCATTCCTTCCTGATTCCAGGGAAGAAGCTATAGGGAAATTTAAAGCAGGATCGGGTTGGAATAATGATATCCTGAGGTTTATATGTCTCAAACAGCTCAGTTTAGTTGATTTCAAAATGGAAATAAAACACAAATGCAGATATAGTTGTCCACTTGAATTGAGCCTCACCCACAGACGGCCACTCTGGGTCTCTGAGCAAGACCCTTAACCCCACACTGCTCCCCTGGTGCCGCACAATGGCAGCCCACCGCTCACCAAGGGGATGGGTTAAATACAGAGTTTAATTTCTCCATTTTCTGACATGCTTAAACCCAAGTGGGGTTGCAAGGGGTGCTGTCTATGGGCGAGAGGTGGGGTACACCCTGGACAGGCCGCCAATCCATCGCAGGGCAACACAGAGACAAACAGGACAAACAACGCACACACTCACACCTAAGGAGAATTTAGAGAAGGCAATTAACCTAACAGGTTTGTTTTTGGATGGTGGGAGGAAGCTAGAGGACCCAAGTGGGGGAACATGCAAACTCCATGCAGAAAGACCCTGGGGCTGGGAATCGAACCCACAATCTTCTTGCTGCAAGGCAGCTGTGCTACCCACTGAGCAGCCAATGTGAGATCAATAAAGTTCAATTATTATTATTATTATATAGAACAGTTAAAGAGGCCATTATGAGGTGGTTCTTGGTAACTTTGGAGGAGCTGCAGAGGCCTGCAGCTCATGTGAAACTGTTCAAAGAACTATTCTGCAAATGTATATTTGCTGTTTTTAAATGCTAATAACAGGATTATAGTATCCCAAATATAATGCCTGATTAAATCCTCTGCAAACAGGTGTAGGATATTTTTCAAAGCAAAAATAGAAGATTAAAGCAGTAACATACAGAATTCGTTCTATATTGTGTATCTCTATAAAACGGATTTAAAATATGCAGAGATGTGATTTATGCACGTTTCTCTGCTGGGAAGTGGCTGGCGCAGCGTTGTTGAGTCAACGCTGCATCTGAGAGGCTGAGGCAGCGGCAGCATCATCTCTGATGTGGCGAGACAGAGGAGGGATGACATAGCGACAGCATCCGTTAACCATAACCCTGCATCTTCCAACTGAAGTCTGTTGCATTTGATTCCTTTAGACAACCTGATCCCACCGGGTTCGCATGCTGGTTGCCAACAGGCACGAGCGAGCTAACCTCGCGGAGATTTTCCATCCAACTTGCTGCTGCTAGCTCGCCGCCCCTCCGTCTCCAAACCCTCCTAACATTCAGCGACCACATCAAAAAAACATGCGGAGCATCGAGGCCGAGACCCCAGGGATATCTTTAAACGCTTCCCGTAGGACACGACCTTCGGCTGGACGCTGACTGGACTCTGCGGAGCCGCTGTGTAATTGTTTCATATTTATTCAGAACATGCTCAAACTCTTTGGGTTAAGCTAAGGTTAGCCGTTATTGGCTTAACTGCGGCAGCTGTGTGCTACATACAAACAAGGAAACAACATTTAAACGCAAGAATGTTGCTTATATAAAATAGCCGCAAATATTGAAAGGAGTGAATTTGTTTTCAGGGTGAAAAAAAAGTGTTCACATTAATTTGTTCAAAGCAACCTTAGCTAACCGCTAGCTAACCGCTAGTGTTCGTAGCATCGTCATTGTTAGCAGGTGATTCAACAGCTCAGGCAGTCGGTCTTTTTAATAAAAACGACACAACTCGCTTGAATTTGAAGCAAACTGCTCATGCTAAATTTTAGTTACCATCTACTTTTACTAACAGTAAAATCACGCTGTTATTTATTTAAATACTTTGAATGATGACTTGTTCATATCCTCGCGCGTGTTAGCATCACTAGCTGGTCAATTAGCTAGAAATAAGAACACAATGCGTAGTTAAGTAAGTGTAACTCCATGTCAGCTATTGTCTTTGTTCTGTCTTATATGTCTGTTTAATTTAGGAGATTTTTACTAAAATCAAAATATTTTATCATAGCTGATAACGTTGGACTGACATTTACGTGTGAGCGTTTTTGTTTTGTAACGAAGCTTCACTTCTCAGACAGGCAGCACTGCCTGATGTTTTTCCTTTAGGAATAACAAGTACTAGCTGTCCCATACTATGTCAATATTTTCGACAGCTTAAAAAAGGCGCATTGCGCATTTTTGCTAAGGGAATTGTACTTGTTTTTCTAATGAGCCAATGAGTGCAGAGCATGCAAACTTTAAAACCCACATATTTGTAATTTAAATAGGAATCTAGTAATACTCTATCTATAGGTTGGATGATGCAGGTGGATCCAGAATGTAATATTAAATATATGTCACTGAGGCCTAACTCTAAGCTCAGACTAATGGTATCTGACTTGTTTTAAGTTGTTTAATCTTAAAGGTACATCTCATTGTGTAGGTTTGGGGTAATATTAATAACATATGGGGGGAAAAATTGATGCATTCTAAGTATTAAAGTAATCCATACCTGCTGGAATACTTGCATACATCGACACTATTACCTTGTTAGAAGCCTCTTGGCATTTGCAGCTCACCCGCATGCATTTTGTAGACATCAGCACCTTTTGGACATAATTCTGAGAGGATATTTTGCAAAACGACACACAATGCTGATGCATTCATTTTGAAAATACTCATCATTTAGACTTGGTCTGTCAGTTTCTTCTCCAGAAGGTGTTTGGGTCTTCCATTCATTTTTTTTTCTTTCCGGTTTCTGGGTTGTTTCCCATCTTTCTTGTCTACTACATTTTTATCTAATGAGATAGTTTGTGCAGATAGAGGCTAAAATAGATGTTCTGTGTAGGTTTATTGTTCTGTATGTGTTTGTTTTTTCTTTAACATGATCCAAGTTTCGATAAACCTCCAGCTCCATTGTCTGATTTTAAATTACATTATAGAGCCTTGCAACTCATAGTTATGGACTACGTTTTTCCTGATATTTTAGGTTTAATAATGTGTTTTTGCAGTGCCCAGAGTCAACTATAGTAAGCTCCAATATTTGAACCTAAAGAGCAAATGATGTACTTTTCAACCTGTATTAGTTAGGGTTTGGATTATTTTTTCTCTTAATTAGTTGTTCTTGTTTTTCTGACAAACTTGGCAGCGTGACTGGGATGCTTTACAACTTCCCTGGTCAGGTTTCGGTGTGAGTTGATGCTAACCTCAAACTGCAGAGATTTATTTATTTATTTTTGTTATGAAAGATTTCCTTAAGAAAATATGCTCAGAGCCATTTGTTGCTCCATCACGTATTTACTGTAATATTAGCTTCCCGTTATGTGTTAAGGCTAATGTTTTCCCAAGCAGGTTATCTAATCAGGACAAAATTTGAAAATGGGCATATAGACAGAGAGGATAATTCTTGGCAGAGAGCTTTATCAGTGTGCTTTTGTTTTTTATTCTCCAGATACAGATTATTCATATTGTAAAAACACTGTACAGTGCAATACTCAATTTCTTTTATTTTCCTATCTGTTATTTTTAAACACTTTTCTAAGGTGCACATTGTGTGACCACTTCTACTATAACCTTTTGCTGCTGGAAACACCACAATTTCCTCATTGTGGGACTATAAAGGGATTTTCTATTTGGATTGTGCTTGATCTAGATCGCTGTGATACTTCGACACGGCTGGAGCCAGTGAAGTATCTTCATTTACAAACACATGTATGATGCGGCAGGGTGTGACCCTGGAGACGAATAAAATGCTTCTTTAACTGTTATTCAGGGCTGCAGACGTCCGGACGAAGCAAGCCCGATGGTAAAGAACTACCACTGTATAACCTGAACCATTTCTTTGGTCTGAATAAGATTGAAATTTATTTTAAATCTGTTGTCATGTTTATATAGTCATTTAATACATAAACATAAAGTATTTGTTCCGAGTTATCTCAGTTTAGGAAGGAATAGGAGATATGAAGCTTAAAGATGTAAACCCAGAGCTTTCCTTTGCAACGTACAGTCAATGCACAGCTACATATGTTGGACAGTGATAGCATGTTCTATTTTCTTATCTCTATAAGCGCAGCCTATGGGTACACTCTGGAGTTTTCTAGTTCGATCAGTGTTATTGCTCATTCTCTTTGCTTTGCTTTGTCTTTTTTCAGAGAGGACAGAGAGCGACAGATCTCAAGGACCAGATTTTCTGCTGAACTTCTTGCCTCCTAAGACAGATCGTCAGGGACCATGCTGACCATCTTGGCTGCTGGCTCTGTGTTCTTTCCAGGCCTTTTCCTTCTGTCCAAACAATGCCTGAAGTCCATTCCGGCTCTGAGATGGAGCGAAGGGGATGCGGTCATTGTATCAGCCAGGTCAGAATTACTCAAGACCTTTTGACTTGTTGTTCCTGAATATACAGTATTTGTTTCGATAACACTTAAATTATCTGACACTTTTTTAAAATAATTTTATTTACATTCCCTTGCTCTGGTTTTGAATATTTTATCAAATAGATAATAAAGTAGTCCTAACCTTATATTTTACATCCATAATCCTTCTTATATTGCTTCAAATTCATGTTTAATAATTTTTAGGAAAAAGGATCATTTTTGTGTCGTACATTAGCAACATTAGCGGTTTAGCATGGTTTGTTTACCACTGTTTGCTGATCTACTACACAGAAGGTTAAAAAGTAACATGAGCAGCAAAACTTAAGGACGGCCACCAGATGAGTTCCTAGAGTTCCTAATTGTTCGAATCAAACCTTTTTGTCAAACAGATATAAACATTTGAATTTAATGAGAGGGTAC